TGTGTTGGTCCAAGGACTGGGTGTTCAGCCAGGCAGTGAGGCGGCAGTAGCCATCCTGCGCTTTTGCACAGCCCTGGGCTATATCAACAGCTGCCTCAACCCCATTCTCTATGCTTTCCTGGATGAGAACTTTAAGGCCTGCTTTAGAAAGTTCTGCTGTGCTTCAGCCTTGCACCGGGAGATGCAGGTTTCTGACCGTGTGCGCAGCATTGCCAAGGATGTGGGCCTTGCTTGCAAGACTTCTGAGACAGTACCACGGCCGGCATGACTAGGCGTGGACCTGCCCATGGTGCCTGTCAGCCCACAGAGCCCATCTACACCCAACACGGAACTCACACAGGTCACTGCTCTCTAGGTTGACCTTGAGCATCTGGGGCCTTGAATGGCCTTTCTTTTGGCTCAGGATGCTTAACCCTAGAGGGAGACCTTATAACACCATGGGACAGGTCAAAGCATCAAGGTGGCCTCTATGGCCTATGTCAGATTAGGCTCCCCACTCTGGGATAAGATCAGAGAGGATCAAAGGACACTGCATGGAAACATCCATAACACAGTGGACACGCCTGGTGAGCCCACATAGGTATACATGCTTCACTCGACTCTTCTCTGGTCTCTCCCTGCTGCCCTGGCTCTAGGTGGGCTCCACCTGAGGTATTACAGTGATCATCTACTCACATGTTGTATGCTGTTGCCCTCAGCCTTTCAGTATTTCCATAGGACTTCTGAAAATACTTGGTGTTGCCTGGTGCTGCAGTAGGCAGCATTTTTTTTTTTCTAAATTGAGACTGGCCCTAAACTTGGAGCCGCCTTGGAACATTTTCTGGTTCTGACTCCACTGATGCAGTCAGATTACCTGAGGTGGGCGGGCATCGGTGGGTTCTTGGATGGCTGTTTTCCGAAGATTCTCTCCATGCTGTACATGATGTCTGTGAAGGGGACTTCATTTGACACTGCCACTGCCGGTTCTATCTGACTGTGGCTCCAACATGGGCTACCTTCTCAGCAAGAGGCTAATGAGGACAATACCCAGAACTTCCCTGTGGCTCTTTTCCTCCAAAACCACTGTGAACTCTTATACCACAGACTGCTTGGCAAACCCTGCTTCTAGGTGTGTGGGAGGAGAAAGCTGCTGTGTGACCTCTGTAGGCTACTCACAGCGTAGAGGCAACATGTACCGGTCTTGGCTGCTTAGTAAGGGCAGAGCAGGAGGATATGCCTCCCTAAGCTTTCTGGCAGTGTCTTTTACTTGACATCGGAGGTCAGCAGCTGTGCTGTTAGAAGCATACTTATAGTCTGGGAAGGGTGGCCGTCAGGATGTGTTCTGTTTTGTACCTTCATTGACTACTTGCTTCTTTTACAGGCTTTAAGGCATATTTGAGTAAGGCCTGAGCTTGTTGTCAAATTGGAAGCTGGTATCAAATGAAGAGTTGCTATGAGAGCTGAAGCCTAAAATGGCTCATTTGAGCTAATCTGCAAGGACCATAAGGGTTTTGGACACTGGAAGAAGAATTTGTACCTTGGAGATCTATTTGATGGTTCAGAGAATAAGAGGTTTTGTAGATGCTCTTTCTGTGGATCCGCTACCTAACCCTGAATACTAGCAACCTTGGATAGACTTTGGTCTCCCACTGAGACCTTGGTTATGTGGCTTCATACAATGCAGAGCCTGGGCTAGTCGCTGTCTAAGAGAGACCTGGCCTTAATAATCTTAATGTGGAGGTCAGGGCTTTTTCTGTGACATTTGAATGGGAACTATTAGCTATAGTGTTTTCTTGCCAAGGTTTAAAAACTTTGTGAATTTGTACATCTTCATGTATTTAAGCACGCAACAAGTGCCATTTCCATGCATGTAGCCAGCCCTGAGCCTGCCTCTCGAGTAATGGAGTGCCATAATAAACACCCAGTGACTGTTGCTGTCCATAGAATAAGTATTGTTGACTCTAGCTACATAAGAGTAACTTTCTGGAGTTTGCATGCATTGGGAGGGGCCACAGGACTGGGCTAATGGGTTCTTTAACCTCTTCTCCCCTTGGCAGAGGGTCTTTAAGGAGTCTCCTGATTTATGGGAGGGAAACTAGATCCTGGGTTGCAGAGGCTGCTGCCTTTTCTTCTCTCAAAATGATGACTACCCTTTTCCCACCCTCAGGGGCAGATGCCTTTCTTCCTGGACTACAGATTTTCCTTTGCCTCATTTTGAACTGGATCGTATGTGCCAAAGTCCTCGCTTCCAGTTCAGGGCCGGCAGGTCAATGTTAGCTTTTATACAAGTTTTAATGACAGACACTAAGCATGAATTTCTCACAGGGTTGAAAGTGCATTTCATGAAGGTGGGGTGGGATGGATTCTATGAGATTGTGTTTTGACTGTATCTTTATTTTTATAGAAAGATGACTTCAGAGCTGCACATATCCCATTAATAGCAATAATGAGGTTGTAGGGCTCCAACCTCATGACCTACAGCAGTCACCTCTTAACACCATCACAGTGGGGGATAGGGCTTTAAAATGTGAATTTGTGTGTGTGTGTGTATGTGTGTGTGTGTGAGAGAGAGAGAGAGAGAGAGATAAGAAAGAAAACAGGCATACAAATAGTTCTTTGTTGTTGGTTTTTTGAGACAGGGTTTCTCTGCGTAACAGTCCTAGCTGTCCTAGAACTCACTTTGTAGACCAAGCTGGCTTCAAACTCATAGAGATCCACCTGCCTCTGCCACCCAAGTACTGGGATTAAAGGCATGCATCACCATGCCCTGCTTACAAATCGTTCTTAACAAACATACTGGTTTCAAACAGAAAGTCAGAATCTAGGACACATTTCCCTCCCTGATGTAGTTACAGTTCCCAGGAGATTGTATGTTCCTAATGTGCAGGGTTTTGGACTGCTGACTCTGGCCAGTGTCTTAAGGAAGCCTGGTTCTCCAGGACTATGTGCTTTCCCCATTCCCTCCCCATTCTTCCCAACCCAGCCTCACCCAAGTTTCTGTTTACCACTGAGCTTGATCAAACCAAGTTTCTCTGAATCTGAGTTTCCTTCTCTGTGAAAACGGAACTGTACAGCCTTCCTCTTTGGGTTATGTGAAGGGCAGGACTATTACAGATAGGTAGGCCCCAAGGAGCCTCCGAAAAGCCAGGGTTCATCAGCTGTTTTGGACTCTTCCCACCAGAGGGCACTGTGACCACATTGTACGCCCAGCCAAGTTCTTTGACCAGAAACAACAGTGAGATTTGGGTTAAAGTGGGGTTAGGTTCTCCTTGGCTCCAGAAGCCACAGCGTGGGGGTTTGGCAGAGTAAGTCGTCCCCAGACTCCCAAGAAGTCCATGGAGAAAAACAAAGCTCGTTCCAATAGGTTCTTAGTAAGAAGCACCCTTGTTCTTGCTGCCTAGCCCAGGGGAGCCATAGGAAAAGGAAGCTTTTCCCTTTGCTGAACTGTGGGTGGGGACAAAGGTCTGTATAAATACCATTTGATAAATGATTTCACCACTAGAGCATTGAAAGGGACAAGGGTTTGGAGTCTTCAGAGACAATTTGGCTGGTACCTCCTTTTCTGTGGAGATGCCCTGCTATGGTCAGCCCTAGCAAACTAGAGTCAGCCGAGAGAGAGGCTATCCCAAGGTGCCTTGCTCTTTTACAGCCTAGACTTCTCACCAGTGTGACCCCTCCTGTTCCTCACCTGCTCACCCTGTTCCTCCTTCACACATTCCTCACCCGTCACTCTTGGTGTTGCCACTTTCTGTGGCCTGAATGTAGTTCTGGAAAGTGAGATGGAACCTCTGCTGCATCTGTCCTGAAAGGGCTCCCTTACCCAGGAGCAGTGAGCACTAATTAGGCTTCGATGAAGTATGACTGCATAGTGAAGAAGCAGGCTTAGGCACAGCTTGATCTCAGCAGAGCTGTGGGTGTGGGTTGGTGGCTTAAAAAGGGCCCCACAAGGTGGCACATGCCTCTAATCCCAGCACTTGGGAGGCAGAGGCAGGTGGATATCTGTGAGTCTGAGGTCAGCCTGGACTACCGAGCGAGTTCCAGGAGAGACAAGAATGTTACACAAATAAACCCTGCCTTGAATAAAACCCAACCTCTCCTCCCCCCTCCAGAAAAAGCAAATCAAACCAACCAACCAAATAAACAAAAAACCACCCCCCCCCCAACAAACAAAACCCCCAAAGTGCCTACAGCTAGGCTGTCTTCAACTATTCCTCTCTAATGTTCAGCATGTATAGGGGTTGAGAGTGGATCCTGAGACCAGGCCACACCAAGTGTTTGTCCGGTTTTTCTTTTCACCTTCAGGTCCCCAGTTCCTTGATCTGAGAACACTCCAGAAGCTTGTAGAGCATCCATGTCTTGCCAGTAGTCATGGGAGCAGGATTTTTTGAAAGAGACCTCCAGAGGACCTAGACTTTACCAGTGTTCCGCTTGAAGTCCCGTGGGAGGCTGAGTCAAAGCCTTCAAATGAGCCACTCCCCAGTTTCAGACCCTCAGAAGCTAACCACTTTATTTCTTGGTGTCTAAGTTTTTGTTGCACAATAGGCCACAGCAATAGACACTTAAGGGCTAACTGAAGGTATGAACAGCAAAGTCAGCCAGTACTGTCTGGTTTAAACGAAGGTCCAAGTGCTCTAGCAAGCTGAGTACATGGTGGGTAGGAGGATGGCATATGCCATGAGGGTGTCAGAATCTTGGGTCACAGCAATATCTGGCCTTATCGCTAAAGTTCCTGTGCTTTTATAAACTCTCAGTTCTACAAGGGGTCCTGTCCCAGGACACATAGAGAATTAGCTATGGGGCCCTCTATATGTATATCCTCTCTGGGTAACCAGACTTTTGCTTGCTACCAGGACCAAGATACCTGCTACTCTCTCCCTGGGGATGTCTAGGAGACAGGTACAGAAAGGCAATGTCATGTTTGGAGCTGTCTGTATGTCGAACACAGGGATAAGTGTGAAGAGGCCAAATGTCTCCCAGCTGGGTCAACCACTGCTTTTGGAGGTGGTGAATGGCAAGGATGCTCAGGCCTCCTGACATAGGACTATGGTGCATAAATTCTTGTAGAAGTTGTCATCTAGGATGGCATACAAGAAAGGATTGAGGCATGACTTGGCATAGCTGAGCTAGTAATAGCATACAAGATGCCAATGACCATGTCTGTAGTCAGAGACACAACAGAGGCCAGGTAAAAGGGCGGTCAGCAAAGAAGGCACACAGTCAACACAGTGGGGACCAGGACAGTTACCTTCCTCTTGGCCTTCCCCAGAACCTTAGCACCTGAGTGGAGTCTCATGCTATGCAATCTGGGCAGTAGATCCACATATAACATGCAGACGATGTTCTCAGGCACTGCAAAGCCCAAAACCAATGTATAAATGTGGCTGGCTAGGAACCAGGTACCTATAACTCATTGCTGTAGACATGGGCAAAGAAAAGAAGGGCAGACCCATGATGGTGATACCCAGCCAAATGCAAAGGCTGGCAACTTTTGTCCCTCTCCGGGTACATAGGCAATCCATGGGATTGGACAGTGGCAGCACCACTAAGTAGTAGTCCACACTTATCACAACTAGGAAGTGGATGCTGGAGAAAATGCTGTAGTGGTTGAAGGCTCCCCAAAGGGTCAGTGCTACAGCAGGTACTCAGAGATGTTGGCTGGAAGCACCAGCACAGATCATGGAATACACAGTTGGGAGGAGAACGTGGGGTATAGGTAGTGGCTCAGAGAAGGTGTGGGCTAGGTATTACTGTCCTCAGACAAGTTAGTGCTTATGGTAGTGGGGAAGCAGTTAGTAGCCTCAGTTGTTGGAGGACTCTGGGCACTCAGAAACATGCATCATGATAGGGCTTGGAGGCTGATATCTGGGCAGGGGCCTCCTGGGCTGGATTCTGGGAAAGAAACAATCAGAAATGCTACTACAGTAGCAACCTCAAGTTCTCTGAGGCCATCCTATCCACCCTGGACCCAGGCAATAGTGGGGCACAAAGTTCCCCTTCCTAAGTGTAGCCCACTTTCAAGTTCTGCTCATGTGAGAGCAGCTGTACATTCTCCTGGGATGCTAAGGGTTGGAGTGGCCCAGAGCAACCCCACCTACCATCGTCAATATACAATAAGTAGAAGCAAGGCTGTTGCTTATATGGAAGTGTAACTTTTAAGTGCTTCTCTAGCCACTTTGGATCTAAAAGTCCTTGCCTTCAGGAGTCAAGTCCTCACTCTCCCTACTGCTTGCAAACCCCTGCTTTTCCAGATATTTCATTGACTTGTCCTCTGTCTAATGCCTTGTAGCTAGAAGATGGTAGCCTTGGGTTCTCAGTGTCTAGGCAGCTATAAGATAAAGGGGGAGGTATGAACCTTCTGCTTTAGCAAAGGTTACAGTTAGTCTTGGCCATCTGGGAGGGTGGATTCCAAGACCCACTTGCCTGTTGGTGTCCCAACCCATCCTTGGTTACAATGCGAATGAGCAGGGAGAGGAGTGGAGAAAGCCGGGGGAGGGGGGTCCTACTATCCTGATTGAACCTCCTGGAAGCAAGTCCTCCCTTACCCCAGTACTGAATTACAGTGCCTGCAGTTGGTGGTCTGGGATTCTATCCCCATGTTCCCTGCACCTACTTTCCCATCACCCCCCTCTGTGTGTGTGTGTGTGTGTGTGTGTGTGTGTGTGTGTGTGTGTTTTAGAATCTTGCTGATTGTCACTCACCCAGTAAGTTCCAAGTGAGTAGCTGAGAGATAGGTTTTTGTTTGTTTGTGTGTGTCTGTATGTTGAGAAGGCACATACAGTGTTTCTGGATTCTGAGGGTATTTGTGCTTCTACCTGTAGGCACTAGGGACCTGTGTACCTTCATCTGTGTACATGGATCTTGATAGAGTTCATGCCTGCTTCTAAGTATGTACATGGTATGTGCATTGCATGCATGTGTGGGCCCATGTCTGCCTGCATGGGGTTTTGAGGGTATTTCTGCATTATATCTGAGGGAGTCTGTGTGTATGCTTTATAAATATTGGACTGGAGGATTGCTTATCCTCACATGAAGTCAAATGTTGACCATAGGCAACTTAATTCTATTTCTATTCTCCAGCCATGAGAGGCCATGGAAAAAGGCACTTGCTCCTCCACTGGCTGCTGACCTCTGCTCTGTGGCACTCAGGAAAATTACTGGATGCCAAGATCATCTCTATACTCCTGTGGACTTTCATACTTTCTACCTATGTGGATGTGTCCTGACCTATTCAGTTAGTCCTACTCATGAACAGCAGGGCTGCCTCTCTGGCTGTGCTTTTGTAGCAGCGCTGTGCCAAGGATGAGCAGCCAGTTTGATTTGGGGGTAGTTTTTTGTTTGTTTTTGCATGCAGACGCGTGCATGCGCACGCACACATACACACTAGTTTGTTTCAGCCTGGGGGCAAGTAGTTGTTCATTGAGGCTTTGCCCAATGCCCTCTCGAGTACAATACCATCCACCTGTATCCACAGATCAGCTTTTTTCTGTGAGTTGCTTGTTGTGGACTATTACTTGAAGATGTATTACATTTGTTTATGCTGTGGAATGTTTGTTTTAGGATGTGTTGCATTCTTTCATGTTGCATTTGTTTAACTATTTGAAGCTGTGTCACTTTGCCTGTCTAGAACACCTGATTGGCCTAATAAAGAGTTGAATGACCAACAGCAAGGCAGGAGAAAAGATAGGTGGGGCTGGCAGGCAGAGAGGAAGAGAAACCTGGGAAGAAAAGATCAGGGAACAAGAAAAGAAGGAGAGAGATAGGGGCTAGCCATCTAGCTACACAGCAAGCCATGGAGTAAGAAGTAAAGAAAGGTATATAGAATAGAGAAAGATAAAAACCCAGAGGCAAAAGGTAGACAGGATAATTTAAGAAAAGCTGGCTAGAAATAAGCCAACCTGAGGCCAGGCATTTGTAAGAAAGAATAAGCCTCTGTGCGATTATTTGGTAGCTTGGTGGCAGGTCCCCCCAAAAGAGCCAAAGAGTAAAAACAACCAACTACAGTTGCTTTCTCAATTCTTTTCATTCCATGTTTTTCCTGGGCTGGGCCACAGTTACTGAGTCTGAGGCCACATTCAGGAATACCAGGTGGGGGCAGTCATAGATACTTCCTTTTGGATACTGCACTCAAAAGTGGATCAGCACTGCTTAGTAGGTCTGTGGTTATTTCCGGGGGAGCACTTCACTTAAAGAGACGGAACCACCCCAGGTCATCAGACATGTTTAGCAACCATGCGGAAAGTCTTTATTAAGCTGAATTTAATGAGTTGGGGGTGCTTGTGGGATAAAGCAGAGATATTGGGTCTGTTCGGGTCTCTGGGAAACCAGAGATGTTGCAGGTTCAGGCTTGACTGATCCCAGACTCGTCCCCTGGCAAAATGAGGTGGCTGGGTGTTCTGTCACCTAGTTTGTATCCTGAGACTTCCTCCCTGGAATCTTGTCAGCTTAGAGCTGGCCAGTGCCCTCTGTTGTCATCGTTACTGGCAAGGGCTGAGGTCCTTCACATCTCTCCTTACTCAGCTTTACACACATAAAATATTAGCATACTGTTCACTCCCCATCTTTCTCCAGAGCTTGTTCCAGTTAAGTCTTCTCTCTAGTCGTGTGTGTGTGTGTGTGTGTGTGTGTGTGTGTGTGTGTGTGTGTGTGTGGTGTGGTCTGGAATCAGATTGCTTTCCTGAGTGTATAGAACCCATTCTCAACTTCCCACTAAGACCTGTGGCTCCCTTTAGCCGACTCTTTTCACCTTTCTAGTAGTCAGTTCAGTATAAAAGTCCCTCCCAGGCCTTTGTCTTCCTGTGTCTGGCTTGGGGAATACTCTGGCTCCTCACCAAGCCTGTCACCTCTGAAGTGGGTTAGCGAAGTAGGGTCCTGGGAGTGGTGGTGGTAGGAGTGGAGAGGATAGGACTGGGAGTGATGTGGAGCTAAGCTGCCACACCCCTTAGGCTGAAGCTGCTGTGGGTGCCAGTCATCCTGCCACAGGTCCACATGTGTGGAGACTCCAGATGCCTCCTTCCCTCTCTAGAAGCACTTCACCTGTGCCCCGCTGCAGCCTGGCAGCTGTCTTTATAGCTCTCACACTTGAGCTAAAAGAGCTGCTTTGTTCTGCTCGTGGGCGGGGCATTGCCCCAGAGGAGAGCTTTGCCTCCTGAAAGGATCTTCACGTTCAGAAATGGATTTGGTCTTTGCAGCCTACTGGGTGTGAGGGGAGAGGCCAGGGAGGAAGCCACGTGTCAGCTGTACAGGGTGGGGGTGGGGGAATGCCCGGTGATGAAGACCAAGTTTGCTGGAAGTGCTGGGGTGGGGTTGGTAGGATGGGGAGGATGGAGTGGGTAAGTGTGTGGTGGGTCAGCTGTCTGGATACTGTAGACCTGCATTTGGGTCTCATATGTGACTGTGTGTATTTGTTTCTGGAATCAGGAGAAGAACTGGTCACATTGTCTTTCCAGGACAGGGGGAAGAGGAGGGTGTGCGCTTGTGTGAGCTAGAAACAGATGTAGCAGAAAGTTCAATTGCAGGGCTTTATTCTTATTGTTAATATATGGTGGTCAACCTCCATCTACTGTTGCTGGATGCCTGGAGGCCCAACTACTTTCTACCTCTTCTGAAACAAACCAAGACAGAAATTGGTGGAGGAGATAGTTTTATTTTCTGGGCTTGGGAAAATGGAGTTAGAGATCATATACCCCACAGAAAGTATTCCTAATTTTTGAAGGTCATATGATCTCGGGGGTTTCTATGGGGCAGAAAAATTCCCTTACTTAAAAAGTACTTTGTTTGCCTGTGGAAGTTCCCTGAAGGGTTGAGACTTTGTCTGACTCTTCTCTCCAGAGATATCTTGCATCCCTATTAACATACTAATAGGTAAAGGAAAGTTATCCCCAGGAAATTAGAGCACCAAATGTGAAGGATTAGTTTGCAAATGAATAACTAACCCAGATAGGTGAATGGGACGGGGCAGTGTTTACTTTGCATATCAATACTCAGCTAAGGAAAGCTATTGCTTCCTGATGTGCATCTTTCCTCTACAAATTTACTTTTATTTTCTTTATAATTTTTAGTCTGTTCTGTTACAGTACAGGTATACCTGAGCACATGTACGTACATGTGGCTTCACTCTAGTATACACAAGCAACCCAGCCAGTTTCACTACAAAAATAGAACTGGCATTTTCTTAAGAAAGCTTCCTTAAGGAAGCTGGAAAAGGTTATTTATAAAGCTGAGGAGCAGGGTGACCCTTTTGTATGCAGAAGTTCTGGGCTGTCCACAGTCTCTGCTCAGCCAGAACCCAGTTGCCCAGGAAGAGGCAGGGTCCCACGTGTGTTTGACACTGCATGCAAATGGACCAAGCCTTGTGCACGGACCAGGGCCAGGGGAGCTGGGCTATTTGGGCAGGGACTTCTGCAGGTCCTTTGGTCTTGGCTGTTCATCAATTCATAGGAATAAAGCTGTAAACAGAATTGACAGCTGGCTGCCCCTGAGTATGGGGACAGATTGGAACAGAATTATGTGTTACTGTCTGCCAAGAAAGAGTTTCCTGGGGCTGGAGAGATGGTTCAGAGGTTAAGAGCATGGCTGCTCTTCCAGGGGGCTGGGGTTCAATTCCCAGAACCCACATGGCAGCTAACAACTGTCTGTAACTCCAGTTCTAAGGGATCTGATATCCTCACACAAATGCACATTAAAATTAAAAAAAAAGAAAGTTTCCTTCGTACATAGAGGTTAAGAGCTCTAGGGGAACTTTGGGAGGAGAGGCTTCCTGTCAGGGCTTCAGGACAGAAATTCTTTGGGGGCAGGAGTGGGGAACAGGGGTATCGCTGCCTGGGAGGGGCAGCCTCCAGCAGTGCAGGGCTCAAAGGGAATCCACAGAGTCAGCACTGCATGTACTATGACTTTTTTTATCTGAGGGGGTTAGGAAAAAGACACTCACATTCTCTTGATGGTTTCCTTCAGGCCTTTTCTTTATTCTTTTGCATTCTCTGTTCTTTATTTTCCTGGTGATTTCCTTCTCTAATTCTTGATGTTTTCCTTCTAACTTATTTTAACTCTCTCTTTGTTCTTTCCCTTTCAGCTTATATGCCCCAGCAAAATCTTTCAGGCA